CTTGACTTAAGCAAGGCTTTTGATTCCTTGGGACATGATCTTATTCTAACTAAACTTCAAAATTTAGGAATCCAGCGAACAGCTCTGAAATGGTTTGCAAGTTATCTAAAAGGGCGAAGCCAAATGGTAGAAATAAAACACACAACAAAAGGGGTTACAGATACTGTCAGATCTGAATTGCTACCGACTAACAGATGAATTCCCCAGGGCTCTGTCCTAGGGCCAGTTCTGTTTGGTCTGTTTATTAATGACTTCCCAGAACACCTTGAGGAGTACAGCAAGATGGTCATGTATGCAGACGACACTGTGCTGCTTACAGCAAACAGAAACATAGATCAACTAGAAGTAAACACCTATATAGCTTTCAATATGACACAGGACTACTGTATGAAAAATGACTTAGTCCTCAATGAAAGTAAGACCAAGCAAATTACTTTTGGAAATAAAAAGTCTACAGTATCTGAAATGCCCAACCTGACAGCAGCTGAAGAAATTAAACATCTAGGTGTCATAATTGATGAAAATTTATCCTGGGATCGTCATGTAGCTTGTCTTTGCCAAAAACTCGGGCCAGCTCGCTTTGCCATAAAACGAATCAAAGAGACTAGTACCCCTGAGGCAACGAGGACTGAATACCATACATTGTTTGAAAGCCATATACGCTATGGTATCACTGTCTGGGGTGGATCCACTATGGACAATCTTAACCGGGTCCTGGTTATGCAAAAAAGGGCTATCAGAATAATAGCAGGCATAAGTAAAGAACAAAGCTGTAGAGATGCCTTCAAAAACCTGAACATCCTGACGGTGACTTCCATCTACATCCTAGAAACTGTTTTTTACTGTGTAACCAAAGACCCGCCTAAACAAAGATATATACATGAATACAACACCAGATATGCAGGAAACTACGTGCTGCCTGGCCACAGAACAGCAATGTTTGAAAAGAAACCACTATATGCAGGAGTGAAGATGCTTAACAAATTACCAGACCACTTGAAAATTGGAGGCCCGTTGCTGATGAAGAGGAAGCTACGGAGATGGCTGGTAGACAAAGCTTTCTACACCCTAAATGAGTTCTTTGCATGGCAAGACCATACACAACACTGAAGAGGCTTTTCCATTTCACTTTGTGTCTGTAAAATTTGACGCTGTAACATTTCTTGATGAAATTGTAATAAAGAAATTGTCTATTGTCTACCTGATGGATGTCGCAGCTATTTTTAAAGCTGAAAACAGAGCACCACCTGGCCAAATAAATCTGTTTTTTATTTTATTTTCAAAAACTAATAATTTTTAACGTGTATTCATTTTAGATCCGTCTTTAGATCCACTTGCTTGCCCTCTCATGTTCTCAACCGGAGACATTGGTTGGGGCCCCTAATTTAAACACCCCTAAAACAGAACATATCGTAGAAATAATTTAACAATGCTATAGTGCATGTCGTACTGGTTGGCGTCGAAAGATATATTTTAGCTTGCTACCTACATTAAGTCTGTGTGGTTGTCATCTACTTGCTCATAGAGTTCACCCGCCTACTGTACATAAGCGATAACCAAAGCAGTATGAGAGCGGATCTATATTTAAATATTGTAGATTACTTATTTAATTTTTTACAACATAATATATTTCAAATTACTATAATCAGTCATAGAAATTACTTTAGAGTGACTCTTTGATTGAGCTCTTGCTGTTTATGTTTTTGTTCGATATTCTCTTATTACAAGTAATAGTTTTGCTCGATTTCGAGCAACGGGTTATCTAGTTTGTTATTAATTTTCTTCAGTCCCATATTATATTTAAAACCTAAAATTAAGCAACACAAAATAAGAATACATTTTATAATGACTAATATACAAACTAACAAAACATTTTAAAATTAATTAGTAAAATCAGTTTACTAACTATTTTTCTTCAAACTGATTGTGACACTAGTCACCTGAGCTACATTGTTGGGTGGCAAAGATTAAACCAATAGAAATCCGCAGAAGGCAATGTGAAAATAACAGCATTTAGTTGGAACAGTTCAGTTTACTCTGACAGTGGGGATTGCTGAAAACAAATGGTCGGCTAAAAATAGGCAAAGAGGTGATTGTGAGACGGCCCTGGCATGGGCAAGGTGGGCTTGGAATAGATCACATACCTGTCCTCCTGAATCTTCCAGCGGCTAGGTAACAGTCAGGTAGAAAACATGTTAAACTTCACCTTAGAACTAGAGAATCCATTCCCATGTTAAAGCTGTGAATGTAGTTGAATTGAGCCAACGACAGAGTGCACCGAGGTAAATTACTGATTTCTGTCAAATACACCAGCTTTTAGACCAAACTGAAAATAAAACTTGTTGCATACTATAGCATCTTTGAACTATCAAAGTGACAAAGACTATAAAGGTGAAAATATAACTTTAGACAGTAGCACACTATGGAATTTTTAACTTATTATGGAACTTTTTAATTAAAACATTAGTTACATGTAGGCCTAGTTCATATAAAGTAGATGACATGACTAGTTCAGCATTCAAAAGTCAATTACTTTACCCATAGTTCTCCTAAAAAAATGTTTGACGGAAGGTAACCTGTTGTTTGGTTTCTATGAACTACAGGCCACTGTGTTCAATTTGTGCCCTGTTATTACAACAAATATGATATTTTTACAACTTAAAAATGCAGTTAGTTGTAATTTATTATGAAACATATGATTTCCTAGTTTATTCTCAAAGTTAGTGTATAAAACGGAAGTGTTGCACGACGTCCAAGTTGGACGACGTTTATATTGGACGTCGTGAAACAGCTCAAAAATAAACTGACTTATATCATTGCAATGAATCCTAAAAATCAATCTTCAGTTGTAAATTTTAAATGAAATTGATTGATAAAAAAAAGGAAATATATGTCTATTATATAATAATAAGATTCAACTCAAAAGATACACTATTTTACTCAATCCATTCTATTTACAACACTGGTAAACATAAACAATTAATTAATGAACACATGTTTGAAACTATACATCGACGTCACCTTTGGCACGCTGGGGGCGGCCCCTTGGGTGGGCGGTGCCTTATTAGATTACATACTACCTCCTTGGCAAATTTAAAGTCCTTAGCTTGTTTCTAAACGGATAAGATCAGCTTATCAATGTAAGCCACTTCCGAGCTTATTCACCATAAAAATATGTTTTGGAACTTTATGGGCAACAATCCTGCTACATGCCAAGTATTTTGCCTGTCTATAATAATTCAGTCCAATATGCACCTGAAGTGTTTCATACAGAAATATGGAGGGGTCCAATTATTTTTTTTTGGAGGGGGGAGGGGGTTAAATTTAGTAGAATTTTAAAGGTATTTGTTATTGGTCACAACCAAAGACTAATAACATTGAAAGATTTCAAATCCTAAGCACAATGCAATTGGTTTAAGAACTGTTGATGGGGGGAGGGTAAATATTCCATAATGCAAATTTCTTAAATATTTAGGGTAGGCCATCCTGTCAGATTTCAAGTATCTAGCACGTCTGTGAATGAGTGACAGAAGTAGTCGGGTTGGGTAGCAGGAAAATATTTCAGTTCTGGCGGGGAGGCTGCAATTTGAGGTGGTTTAAGTATAAAAGTTTCTGAACCTAAAACCGCCCAGACCCAAATTTTTAAGGACCTCGGTCGTCCGTAATGACGTCATCAAGATGGCGGCCGTAAGAGGATGCTGGGTCGCCATGAATTGGTTATAACACCCAAATGTGTGAACCGATTTTAATGAAATTTGGCATACAAGTACTTAAATAAATTATATCGACATAGGTTGTCAATGGTCGAGTTTGATCAAAAACTCAAAAAAACTTTTTAGGTTCAGGAACTTGTATACTATGACCACCTAAAATTGCAGCCTCCCCGCCAGAACTGAAGTATTCTGCCACTATATGCAACTATACAACCCCACTATACACCATTTCACAAGTAGTGCTCATATGAATAATTTGGAAAATCCGCCAATTAAAATCTTTTGAGGGGGTGAAGATTTTAAAATGTCTATTTAGCAAGTTTCCCTTTAGAGTTGAGATAATTGAAAGTACAAATATATGTCCTGAAATACTTAAATAATTAAAAACACAAGGAAAATTTGATAAATTTTCAACATATTAGAAGTAGGGCGTTTTTGGGGGGTAAGGGGGTTTCTATGTTATTTTCCATTAGAATAACATGGGGGAGATTCTAAAATTTGGGAAGGGGGTTAAAATTTGAAAAATAGACTTTTTTTAAATTTAACTTGATCTCCATCTAATCTAGAAGTAAACGTGATTTAGAGTGATGCACGTGTGGTGGCTATAAGGTGGGAGATCGACTTGGAAGGAGAGGGTGGATTTTTAATATGATACTTTTATATTCATAGCTTGGTGTAAGCTCTAATACTTTAAACTGTGTGCAGTTTTAATTCCCTTGCGCCCATAGAGTAGGTAAAGAAACTGTTATTACCTCATAAAAGTGGTTAAAACTTTAAAATTTTGAAATTAAACTTAAGTTTTAGTGGTTAAGAGTAAAATAACAAATCCTGATACGTGTAGATATCGCATTAGAAAATCCACTAAAGAATATTTTTTAATTCCATTAAGGATATTTCCAGAAATCCTACACCCTCCTGGTCTTTTACCTGTAGAGTTATTGTGGAACACATGTATTTTTTTAAGTATAAGCATAGTAACTCAACTATATACGGAATTCTATATGGGTCAAACAAGCTTTTAATTAATTAAAAACTTATGATTTGTAAAAATATATATTTTGTTGTATAAGTTCAAGAATGATAGAAAAAGGATTAATTTATGGGGATAAAGTTGAAGCAAGCAATGACATTACACCTTACCTACTATGGTACTATGGTTACCTATTATGGTATAGGTTGTCATAAACATAAATACATTGGTTGACAATATTATTGAAATTGGGTGTATAAGAATACAAAGACAAAGAAATGACATCAATACAGAATAAGATTTTAATTTAACACATTTGTATTCAAGTTGAAACAATTACAAAAATGTAAGCTATCAGAATACAAAAACTCAACAAAACAACATTTACTATAAACTTATAGATAAAAAAGAGAGCCAAACAAAAGTAATAAAACGTTGTCTTTACTTTAAAACAATTTAGGAAACAAACTATTTTATATTTTAAACTAATGAAAAAAGCATGTCTGACAAAAGATGTAGGCCTAAATAAAATTAAATAGGTATTATCACTAAATACCAGTAGGTCCTATTACTACTATGTTTTTGTAAATCGGTTGAAAATTATCTTATTATTGTAACTCGAGTTGTTAAACAAACTGAAAGATGTTTTAAAGTTTATGGAAATAGTTGTATTCCTCTAAATTTGTATCAATCGTTTAGTTTAATTAATGGATTATATCACATCAACATTCTTATAAACTTAACATCTTATGAATAATTACTGACTTTAAAAACTTTATTTCACTTAAATCATGAAATATCTAATTTAACTAACAACATTTTAAGATTTATTTCTATCATTCAAATAAAGCAACATTCAAAAAACATTCAAATATTGCATAGATTTCTAGTTAAGTAAACAAGATAATCTTTCAAACATTATCCTTTTGCTTTTTATGGATTTTTTATGATATTTAAAGTCAAAACATAAAATTTTTCTTGGTTAAATCCTCCTTGATTAGTTTTGATTGACATCCAATCCAAAACAAAAAACTACAAATAAATAATTTATGATAACACTCACGATTTAAACAAAAGCTGTTCTGGCATGTTCTCTAAATTTTATTTGTTTTCCTCCTTAATATGAGGACTACTGTAAGTTAAAAGATGCAGTTGTCTAGGCTTAAACCAAAAAGAGACTCTTTAATATACAGATTAATATTGCCTACATAAATTGTAATACAGATACAGTACAGTGATACACTGAACTACTATGTTTCCAATCTTCAGAGTGAAATACTGAAAAAGGCTAAGTACAATCTGACATCTAATCGTTGCTTTATTGTAAATGTTTAGAAAAAATAACCAACATACAACTATATATTTCAATATAAAATATAGTTTTATACTTAAGTGTAAGTTTCAAGTATCTTCACAGACAGGACCCGTTTGAGTTGCATTAATACAAATAAGATTGGTGGTAAAATTATTGGTTTGTAAGCAGGCTGAAAACACTATCTTTGTGCTTGGGATTATTACACATCTTTGAATACACTAGTCTATCACTAGTGACAGATTAGCAAGATCCCAGAAAGGTGGAAGGTCATGAAAAATCAGCCATCAAGCTTCAAAATAAAAGAAAAATTTCACAAATTGTCAGTCTCATTATTTAATAACTCCTAGTCATTTGACTCAAGTAACAAAACTATAAATACACCTATAGCATTGAAATGCCACTGGAACATCAGAGATGCCGTATTAGCTCAAAGAGAAACTACTGAGATTCTACAGTACTGTATTTTTAAAACTACAACACATTTAATTCTCAGTTTTAAAGCTCATTGTTATGTATAAGACATAATTTGTAAACGTTTCTATAACCAAACATTTAAGAAAAGCAACAACTTTGTAACTTGGAAAGATTTACGTTATAACACTGTACAAATTTAGCTAACGTATCTAAAAGAGTGCAGCAAATATAATCAAGGTGTATTGTTGACTTTATAGGTAGGGCCTATGAAAAGATGTAAATGGAGAAATGATGGTAATTTATTGTTTCATTAAGTAGGCATCTACACATAAAAATTACCTATTTTATGACTGGAAGAATATTAATAATAAATGTATGTATGTGTCCAATACTAATTTAATTGTATTTATATTGTTATATTAAAGTTAACATCATTTTAAGATATTACTAAGTAAGTTATTTAAATAAATCAATGTCCAACATAAAAACATATTAACATTAAAGTTCTTAAATGTCACATATCTGACAAACTACAAAATTGTATTACACTTTAAAGCTGTGTAAGAGTGGTATGGTAGAAATACAAAACTAGTCTACATGTCTACATCACACATATTCGTTGGTTTAGTTGCACGTTTGCCTGCACTTATTTCTGTAACAAATATAACAACAAATTATTTTAAAACTAGTGTTAGTTTCAATACATCAGTTAAATTCTTGGTCAGTTCCTTCCTTTCTCTCTGTTCAAAATTATTTACATTTTTTTCTCACAAATAACTATCCCAAAAACCCTAAATATGTAATAGTAAGCTTTTTAATATACATTAGAGCAGAGGTATCCAACCTCCCCAACAGCACAATGGGCTTGCTGGGAACTTGTTCCAAGTCCATTGGCCCAAGTTCCCAAGCCTGGTTTAGACTCAGGGACCAAAGTCTGTAGGCTTGGTTTTGACTTGTTTTAGAGACCGAAGTTGGCAGTTGTTCAACTTGTTATGGGTTTGGCTCCCCAAGTCCAACCCAAGTCCCAACCCCAAACCTACAGTGAACTCATGGGCACAAACCCACTCTAAGCTTGGAATGATGGATACAAAACGGGTCTAGTAGATTAAGCAGGCTCATTTTGGACTTGTTCGGGAATTGCGGACCCAAGCCCAAATTTAGTAGGCTCATATTGGACTTGGCTTAGACTCATATTTGAATTGGTTTTAGCACATGTTGGACTTGGGCAAACAAGCTCACACTGATAAATTAAACAGGCTCATTATGGACTTGTTCGGGACTTGGGGACCCAAGCCCAATTTTAGTAGGCTCATATTGGACTTGGCTTAGACTCATATTGGAATTAGTTTTAGCACATGTTGGACTTGGACAAACAAGCTCACACCTTTAGACTCACTCAGAACTTGGTACGAAGTTTTATATACTTCAATTACTGTCATGATCAGAGATAATAATAATAATAATAATAGGCTATAGTAATAGTAATATAATTTATACCTATTTAACATATAAGCAGTTTCACACCATTCATATGCTAACTTAGCTCACCCTTTTCTTAAACATAAAAATAATTAATTTTTTTCCAAGAAAGATTTACAGATAATAAAATGAAGCCTATTTATAAGTCTTAAGTGATCTTAAAAAAGTATTGGTTATAATTTATCTGTTAGGTTAAGAAATACAAGACATTCACATTTCAAGACAATTTATTAATATAATAAATACAATGCCCACTATCTTCCACTTCACCTTCAACTTCTTTTATGAATCCATCAACTCCACCGCATGCTTCAGAAGATCTATAAAAAAATACAATTGCATTAGAATGATTAGGTTTATTAAAATTCATTATTTAAATAATTTTTGTTTGTTATTAGAATTATTTGATTATTTGGCATTTGTTGGTGTTGCAAACACAGGGTGTTAACTTACTCTCGTTTTTAAAATTGTTATCAAACTTTTATTTCTTACTAGACACAAAATTTGAGTAATTTTCGCGAAGTTTTTTAGCTATAATAGGCGGTTTTTTCTTAGCTATAATGATTACAGGATAAAGGAACTTACACTTATCAACAAGGCTACTGAATACACACAACGTAAAATACTGGTTTGGCTTGTTTTAATCTGTAGACTAGGTTAAGGTTAAACAAAAATTTTGACACTGTTCTGTTGTAGAATTCAGCAGTAGATTAGTGTATAGTGAGTGACGTTGTCGATTCAGTGAAGCGCTGAGTATGACAAAGAATAAAGCACAAAAGTTTTAGGCTATAAACAAAATTCTACGAGTTCTTGATGCAATGAAATTAATCGTTTACTTAATTTGGCTTACTTTATCATCATAGACTAACCAACACAAGTATATTTTCGATCTATGCTTAATTTTATAAGAGGAGTGTAAATCTTACCTTTACATGATTCCCTTAGTTCTTCTCCGCTTCGTCTTGGTATCAAAACCATAAACAAAACTCACGACTAGCAACGAAACAAGTAACTCACAACACAACACCAAATTATAAGTGAGAACTGACAACTGAGAGTGAGGAAGTCTAAATCAAACAAAAATGGTGGTTCAGCACAAAGAAACAGGTTTTAGGAGCGTTTTGTGGGTAGGTGTGGAGGGCAAATTCTTTTGTCATATGGCACTGCTCACTTTAGACTCACATGAACAAGCTTGTCGTGGGTCTGGTTAGGTGTTTAAATTTTGGACTTGGCCAACCAGGTTATATATGTAAATAAAGCAAGTTTAGTTTTGGCTCATTCGCACAAGTTCACTTAACCAAAGCTGTTTTAAATTTGTAGTGGGTTCCAAACTCCAAGTTTGTCATACCAATTCAGAAATATGTAAAAGCCAAGTTTAGTCCAAGCTCACGTGCTGTCTGGGCTACGGCTTGCAAACAGATTTCATCCAGCCCACAGAGACTTATCGGTGATACCATAACCATGATCTCACTATCGCGGCTACACCTGTAGGTATTTTGCAGGATTATTTGGATGGGCAATACCATGATCGTCACTTGCGATGACCGTAACCCTCGCAAGTCTCGGCAATAGCGGGATTGTCACTCGTGATCGTGGCAACACTCGTGAGCATGAATGAATCAACAATGAATTGAGGCTTATTGGCTATTGGTGATAATTGTAATCCCTGGTCTGTACCTATCTCAAGTACAATTCTCGGTACCCAGGTTGGTTAGACACCCATGTTTAACCATGTGTACAATACACTTTTCTCACTTTGTCACATTTTTTCAAAAAGAGAAAATTAGCTGTAAGCCTGTGCCTACAGATCGAGCTATCTAAATACAGATCTACCAAGTTAGACAGACCTTTGAAATAATCCTATAAAGATCAGGACAACAAATTTTAACCCTGATTGGGTTTACCTTGAAGTGGAAAACTACTTTCCAATTTATCTTCACACTCCTTGTAAACTCATTGTTCAGTTTTCTCAAAATTCCAAAACATCAAGGTATAACAAATTATAATGTGAAAGGGCTTTTTTAAACAAACATTTATGTATTGAAGTTTTATTCCTGTCTCTTATCATTACAAAATGGCAGTTAAAAAAATAATTTTGTATGGAGAAATTAATCTAGACACGTTTGAGCCTGAAGGGAACAATTAATAATCATGGATACAGATAGACAAACGAGTTAAATCACGTTTACTTTGTGCGAAGAAAGGCAATCTAATAGCTGATAAGAAAAACCCATATGTGGGGCCATTTTCTATAGTAGGATTCGTGTTAGTGACAGTTAAGGAAGTTTTAAGAATTATTGTTGTTTCTCAGTAATTGAAAATGGTGTACACTTTAGAAGAAATAATATACATTATTTTTATTTTTGGGGCAGAACATAAGTGTTCCAGAAGAACTGAGTTGTATTTAAAAGTATTAAAAAAAATATATCAAAATATCCAGGTAAGAACTTGAGTCATACAGCTGTAAATGATTTAGTTAGGAAGCTTTCTCTTCTGAAACTAGTTAAGTTACCAATAAGACAAGAATAGGAAGAGTCCTTGATGAACAACAAGTAGAAGTATTTGGTGAATTTGCAATTAATCGTACTACATCATTGTTTAAGTGCAACATCAGACTTGAATTTCTTTAGGTTCAGTTATTAAGTCATTACTCTTTCCATCCATATAAAATACACATTTTGCCGCTGCCATTTTGTCACGTCTGTCGCGTCGCTCTTGTCGTCCAACTAGGACGGGGTCCATCAGCATTTACTACCAGCAAGATGGTGCTCCTCCACTTTCAAGATAGCTGTTTGAAAGTGGCTTGACCAACACTTTCCACATCAATGGATTGGTAGCAGGGAACCAAGTAGGGAGAGTGGCCAGCTAGGTCTCCAGACCTCACACAATTGGTTTGTTTTTCATGGGAACACATAAAATCCATAGTTTATAAAACATCCCCTTAAGAGTTAAGGCATCGAATCCCGACTGAGTGCAGGGCTAACATGGTGGACATGTTAGAAAAGTCAGGGAAGAATTTCGTAATAGACTTTTTTAGTTGGAGAAAAACGGTCAACATTTTAAATATCTCTTTTAATTTGGAAAATAAGGTAAGAGAATCTCAAGTGTTCTTCTCTCTATGTTTGATTTGCGTGACATAAGATAAAATGACACATATAGTGACATAAGAGATAAAAAGAATGTTAGAGATAGAAAGAAAACCTAAATACATAAAAGTGTAAATAGTGTATAACTCAACCCATCCCGACTCATCATTTATTTGGATTGCCAATTATCCGGATCTCCTCAAGGAGAAAAACCTAAATAAATTTGGCCTGAAAAGTTAAGATCAGTGCAGTGTATTGCAGTTTGCTAATGTTACATATTTAAATGTGTCCCAATCATACCAGGGTTGGTACTGATTTTGGAAAATGAAATTCCCTGACTTTTCCAGGTTTTCCAGACTGATATTATACTTTTTCCAGGTATACCGTAAGACGATATCGAATAGTCAGAATCGAGAATTATTAGAAAAAATGTAGGCCTAAATAGTTTACTCATAAAACCAATAAGAAAAGAATTAAACATCTGGAATCTGGAAAATTAAGAGTACCAACTAACTTAACCTCACACTTTATGTTCTACTTGGCCTTGACTTGACACTAGCAGATAGACGATACGGTGCTTCTGATACTGATATATATATTGATATTTTGCTTGCGATATCATCGGCTTATATCGGAAGAAACATGTGATATAGGAAAAATAACTACCATGCTTGTACCGGAGACAAAAAGTAATACCAAACCAAACTATTAAATGTTTCAACTAACAGGATAACATTTTTTTTATAAACTCCTACAAGTGCAGTTTTTTTTAGTTTATTAAAGGTTGAATCAGCATTGAAAGGGTAAAAGGTATAAAAATAAATAACTTTTCAAAGACTATACTCCGAGAAATAAAAGTATTATTAATAAAGAAGCTTGTCAGAATCTGAGTGGAAAGACAGTATACAAATGATTGCAAATGTGGTGCCAGTGCGTGTTCTCCACAGCAGAAGTCAGGGCAATAACCACTGCAGGCATGCCTGGTGTGAGATTGAAACCCTTGCACATGCCCTTCGCTTCTGTCCGTTTGGTGAACTTCTAAGAATCACTAGGCACCACAAAATAATAAGTATCATAGCAAATGCCT